TTCTCAAACACACAAATCGCTCTCAAATCGGGTTATAATAAGTACTTAAGTATTGACAGTAAGAGTCGATTAGTCGGTCGATCGGAAGCCATCGGTTCGCGGGAACAGTTTGAACCCGTTTTTCAGGAAAAGAAATTGGCTCTTCTGGGCTCTAACGGGTGCTTTATGTCGGCCGATGAGGACAACGATTTGCCGTACATTATAGCCAGGAGTTCGACCGCCGGCGCCGAACAGATGGTCAAAATTAGGACTAATATCGACCCCGAAATGGTTCGGAGGGAACGCATCGCCAAATCGACAGCCGATGAAGAAAAGGGTTCTCTTAAAGAAGCGGAAGTGAATTACGTGAAGAAATTCCAGAGCTTTCAGGACAAGAAGTTACGCATAAACACCGGTCAGACTGTCGTCTTAGAGTCGGCCAAAGCAGAGGGAAGACTACACGAAGTACTGCTCGACAGGAGAGCGAAGATGAAGTCCGACAAGTTTTGCAAATAACACACCAATCAATCAAATAAGCCATTCATTCATACCATTCAAACACCAACTATAAAACCGATCCTATTTTTTGTCAATTTAAATAATTACGAACTTTTAATTAAGAAATTTTAAAATAAAAATTTGTTTTTCAATAACTATTAGCAAATATTTTGTAAATAAGTGTTTGCAAAGAAAACAAACAAAATAATTATATTTATAATTAGAAAAGAAAACAAGAATTTAGTGTACAATTCAATCCCTAATACAAATTGGTTTTTGTTGTCGCAAAAAATTTTGGATGAAATTTATTAATCGCAATATTATTATAATTATAATAGAGTTTAAGTTAATTAATATGAATTAGTTTGCGATACCAGTCGACGAACTCATCGAGGATGACAGGCCAGGCCCCGTCCTCGTCGTAATTGCTCAGATCGTGACTAATAGACCGACTAAACTCATATACATTACACCACTGGTCCTTATTTAGGACTTTGTATTTTGATTGCTCTAAAAATTGATGAAAATATGGATACAGTGGCCAACGGTTGCCCAGAAGGAGCTGAAGCATCGCTTTGGCCGTCTCTAAGTCTATGCTCCGCTGATCCTTATCCTAAAACAGTCAACACATGGATTAGTATTTCATTTGAAAACAGAGTTAGAGTTTTGCGCAAACCTTTGAAAAGTCAAATGAATATCGATATATAGATTTAAAAATCGTGTGATCGTTGAGCAAAGACCGCAAGTATTCCAACTTATTCCTCAATTTTACTAATGAATCACATCTTCGGAAGCATTCAATTACACAATTCAGACATTAGTTAACAATACAATAGACAGAAATGGTTGTAATACTGACTGCATATCACTCATGCCTTTGATCCACTCTTTGATGGAAAAGAATCCCATCTGTTTGGCCTCCATTTTCCATGAGATAACTAACATAACAATGTCTTCGGGCGCCACTGACAGCGCGTTACAGAAGTTCTCAATGCCTTCCGGTTCTATAGTGTCGGGATCTGACAGCGCTGTCAATACAATCAATACATGAGTTGTTTTAAACCAACTATTGATAAATGAGTGAAAGAGTGGTAATGTTTGACTTACAGGCGAACTCTTTGAAGAAAGCGATGCATCGTTTCTGCGAGAAAGAGGTCATGTCGTCGTCGTTTCGGGAACTGTTGCGACGAGAGTTATATCTAAACAATAAGACAATCAATAAGTAAATCACAGCATTAAATGAGCGGCAAATGAGGCGCCAAATGATATGAAAACTATATTTGAAAACAAAATTGAATTAATCGTATAACGGGTGGTAATGACTGGACGGACAGTCGTCTACAAACCGGTCGGAACTCATAATTGAAGTCTTAATGCGTTTAGAATTGGATTTCTCTTCTTCACAGACGTCTATATTGTATTTCCTACGCCTCGGAGGCATTGGAGGCATTAGACCACTGATGCCACTGATGTTCACCAGAACCGACTCTCGTAGTCGTAACCAATCGCCTAAATCACGATCTCTTCCACCAGAATGTAGGCTCTGTTGGAAAACACACATATCATTCCCATTAAGACTAGTATTACATAACAATCAATCATTTGTTTCATTCAAACATTGATTTCAGAGAAATTTGAAACATAAATAAGAGTGAAAAGAGTGTTAGACTGAAGTGATTTGTCCACAAAGAGAGACAACAATACAAAACAGAGGAATAAGAGTCAAATCAGAGATAATGACCAGATTTTGAAGATCGCGTTGTAGTGAATGAGTCCCCAATTGATCCACTTTTGATGCAATTGTTGTCAATTATAATCAATGGTTGTGTGGCTTTGGACTCAATGGCTCTCACTATTGGTTTTCAACTAATAATGCTTTTCAAATGCAATCCACTAATGAATTCACTCAAAACCTAATCGTTTGGAAATTCATGTAAAAAACAAAACAATAAAAAACAATCGTTTAATTCAACGTTTAGTTCACTTTTCAATTTCGCCGACTATTGCTTTGTTCACTGATTTTCAACACTATTTCTAATACAAATCAATACTAAAAAATGTACAAAATCTATACCAAAATGGGCTCAAAATCGGGGACTCAATCGACTCAAGACATTATGAACACCACTAAAGCGAAGGCCATATAAAAGCCATACTATCGCTGATATTATATCAAAAACCTAATGGACGTCAATAACGTCGACGAATCGACACCTATTGAGTCCATTGTAGGCAATGCTAGACAAGGCTTTGGGGGCTCAGAGGCAGCGCTACAACACTGACGTACGCTATGACTAACGCTATAACCCTATTGTAAAAACTCAACAATCATTGACACATTGATTACGTTATGTAATCGGCGGTCAATATACAGGAGGCGACCCCTCTCTCGACGCAACCCCTGTCCCCCTCACACCCACCCCATGACTGGCCCACCCGTAGTGCCCATACATAGGGCGCACACATGTGTGCATACAATATGACTGACGTCTGCACTAAAGGGTTGATTAATATGAAAATCAATGA